TCTCCTGTCTCTGAGACCGGAAGCAAAGTGGCTGGGTTAAAACTCACAATGCCACTGTTCCAGCTCCTTTGCCAGTATAATCTTTGTGGGATGATGGTCCAACAGAGCTGCATCTTCTGGGGTGGAATGTAGTGGGTTTCTGTGGCTGGGTTTTGGTAGCGGGGGGGGCTACAGGGATGGCTTCTGTTAGAAGCTGCTAGAAACTTCCCCTGTCCCGTGGAGCCAATGCCAGCTGGCTCCAGGATGGGCTTCCTGCTGCTGGCCAAGGCCGAGCCAATTAGGAGCAATAGTAATGCCTCTGGGATAACATATTTAAGAACAGAAGGTTGATGCGCAGAAGAAAATTCCAGCCAGGGAAGAGCGGAGTGAGAACATGGGAACAACAAAGTAAACACCTGTAATGGTTTGAGAGCCCCAAAATCCAATTCCCGAGTCCAAACCCCCCTCCCACATCTCAACCCAGTGTGAGATGGGTTTTCCAGACACCACACAAGACTCAAAGTGGGGGGAAGGGATTATATTACAATGACAAACATTACAATACATCATATACAATCTTAACTATCTTTTCTATGATAAAGCAGTATTTACAATGGATCAAATGTCTTCTTCCTCCAAATAAAAGTCCAGGAGGGAAGAAGGAAGAGATCCTTTCCACTCTCAGAGCAACAGTGTCTCTAGGGTAGCAGTCCCTCTTCTTCCATGCAGCAGCTGTGGCTGGATCTTTTATCATTACACACGAGGGAGGCCTCCAAGCCCTCTCGGCCCTTCGACTCCAGGCGAGGGTCTTTTTCTTCCGTGGGCTGTGTTCACCGGGACAAAGGTCACTTCACCACGTCATATCAACGAAGTACAGGAGCCTTTGTGACGGTCCCTATCTTCAGGGGATTCAAGCCCCCTTGCAGAGCTCTCATGCTCTGTCTCAGAGCAACGGGGGGGCGAAGCCCTCCTCCGCATTCTTCTGGCCGTCCCGGTCCAGCTCCAGGAAGCCTTGAGCTTCTCAGCTCCTCTCTCTGCAGTGCATGCTGCATTTCAAGACTCCTCTCAAGGGAGAGTCCACCACCCCTCCTCCTCTCTAGGAGGTCTCAGAGGGGTTTGGGGAGTTTTGGTTTTCAGTTCTTACCCCAAATTCTGTCTCTGCAGGGCTTAGTCCTGCTCTCTCTCTCTCCATTAGAGATCTCTGTGTCTTCCTGCTTGGCTGCATGTTTGTTTTGCTTCTTCTCCCTTATCTCTTCTGGCTCTCTGCCATAGCCTCTGTTCAGTGCTGTTCTGCTGCCGCTGCTCCTGCTGTCCACGGTGGAGGAAAAAAACCTCCCAGCTTCTCATCTACAGATACTTAGCCCAGTCTAACACTGTTCCAAGTCCCTGTAGCCCCCCAGCCGGGGGCTGGGGGGGGCCAGAGGCCCCAGGGGGCTCCTGCCCCTTCTCCTCGTGGCCTCAGAACATGACCACCTCTCCCTCAACAACAACTACAACCACCTTCTTTTCCAGTCTGGGTGATATGTTTATATTTTGCAGAAGCGCTCATTGGCTCGACCCCAAAGGTCACCACCCCCTGGGGGGTTACCATTTTATAACCCTAGGGGGAAAACTGGTTTTTCCCCCACCACAACACCGAGGTCAGTGCAGAAGGAGGGGGAGGAGGTGCTCCAGGTACCAGAGCTGAGGCCCCTGCAGCCCGTGGTGAAGACCATGGTGGAGCAGGCTGTCCCCCTGCAGTCCATGGAGGACCATCAGGGTGCAGAGACCCACCTGCAGCCCATGGAGGAGCCCACGCTGGAGCAGGTTTTTCCTGGGTAGGACTTGTGGCCCCTGTGAGGGACTCATGGTGGAGCAGCTCATTCGTGAAGGACTGCACTCCATGGAGGAATGACCCATGGGACAGCAGTTTGGGAAGAACTGCTGCCCGAGGGGTGGACTCACATCGGAGAGGTCCATCAAGGACTGTCTCCCATGGGAGGGACCCCACGGGAGCAGGAGAAGGACTCCTCTCTCTGAGCAGCGGTAGAAACAACAACCCCCATTCCCTGTCCCCCTGCACCGCTGGGGGGGAGGAGGTAGAACATGGAAGGAGGGGTGGGGGGAAGGTGTTTTTAAGACTGTTTTATTTCTCACTCTTTTGCTCTTATCCTGTTACTAATAAATTTAAGTACTATCCCCACTTTGAGTCTTGTTTTGTCCATGAAGGTAATCAGTAAGTGACCTCTCCCAGCTGTTATCTCAACTCATGAATCCTTCGCTGTTTTTTTCTCTCTCCTCTGCCCAGTTGCAGAGGGAGAGTGAGAGAGTGGCTTTAGTGGGTACCTGGCATCCAGCCAGGGTCAACCTGCTACAGTCCTGTAGTTGGATTTTCCCATTCAAAGGGAAAGACAAGTTGATTCTCTTCATCCACAGATGTCTTTCAAATCTAATACTGTAAAGTACATATTAGTCTCTGGTATTGAGGATTCGGGACTACCGGGTGCCCATGACTCTTGCACTGGTCTATATTCTGATGATTTAGGCTTTTTCACTGGGAGGATTGGAGTGTTAAATTATGATTGGCATTTCCTTAATAACCTGAACTCTAAGAAAGAGTCTATTAATGATTCAAATACTCGCCAGGCCCCTAACTTTATAGGGTATTGTTTTTCCTTACCAGTTGGACTCCTGGTTTCAGTTCAGTTTTTACTGGACTCACGTTTCTTGCTCGTTCCAGGATTCATGATGCCCAAACCAGTGGTATAATTGCATCTAAAACTTCTTCAGGTTTTTCCTCAGTAAGTGTGCAGATCTGTGCTTTCCATGCATTTTCTGGAGGAATATGCAACTGGACAGGGTCAGAAAAAGTCAACTTGCATAGCAAATCCCATCCAAGCAGTGGCAAAATGCACTCCAGCATATAGAGAAACTGATGTGTTTAATTTTGTGTTGAATTCCACTGATGGTAAAAACAATCTGAGGGATTTCCTCCCCATTGCACCAACATTTACTTTCATTTTACTTAGAGGTCTCTTACAGCTAGGAACTACAGAATGAGTTGCTCCAGTATCCACTAGAAAATCTATTGTTTCATTCCCCAGCTTAATTGGAACCAGAGGATTGGCCAAGGAAATAATAATAGATGCTTCTGATCCCCTTCAATCTAGCCCAATTTCTGCCATAATTCCTGTTTCTTTTGATTCTCCCTTTTGTTCATTTGCGAATTGGGGGTACTCCTTTTTCCAGTGCCCCTCCTGTCTACAATAGTGTGAGAGACGGGATTCGTGTCTCACTTGGTTATTTATTGTATTGGAACAAACCGTGTGTGTGGGCAGGAGGAGGACAGGCCTCCAGGTTGGAAGCCTCGTGGCAGTATTGGAAGGCACATGGCCTGCAGCCCCAAGGATCAGAAGCCATGTGGCAGGGCAGCTGTAAATCAAAAGACCCACCTGGTAGCCTGCCCACACCATGCCCCCTAGAGCCTCTGATTGGCACCCCTCACTCTGGCCTGTAGGGCACTGAGTGGTCAGTGAACTAGATGTCCCACCTGGGAGGGGTGGCTATGGTAGTGAAAGCACATAAATAGAGGAGAACAAGGGCTCCATTTTGTCCTTCTTCTCTGGGACCTATCACCACCATGTGAATCCAGACTTCCACAGGATTCTTCGGTGGTAGCTATTTAATCTATTTTTCTAACCTCTTTCTTTACTCCTTGTTTCTTCTCTTAATCTCTCTTTCTTTCTTTACTCTTTTCTTTCTTAATCTCTTGTGGGTAACTTAGAACTGATGGGTTGTATTTCACTAAACTGGTGTTTGATGTTTGCTGGGTACTTTTGTGGAATCTACTCCTTGGTTGTATGTTACTCCTGTGAACCTTTTGCCAAAATACCTATTTTCTCACTAAATTAAAAGAAGTCTCTTGGGAAAAGCATGTAGTGTGTTCTCTTTACGCAACTTCAAGGTATTAAGAACTAAAGGCTCTACAAGAGTTCAGCGGGAACTCTTGGTGTCTTAAATATAAGTAAATCTCCTGGGCAGTGTGTGGCTTGGACCCGGGGCTTTACAAATAGGCACACTGATCTTTTTGGAGGGTTGTTAACCCATGCCCTTGCCCCAGACCTCATTCCCAAAATCCACCTTGCCCCCCACCTCTTCCCTATCCTTGCACATTGGTCAGGGCAGCTAACAACAAATTCTGTGATTCAGTTTGCCTCTTTTTCTCCTTCTCTTCTACTTCTTCCCTATTTTTATAGACTTTATATGCAAAAGACATCAATTGTGAAATAACCATCCCCTCTGCTCCTTCTATCTTTTGGAGTTTCTTTCTAATGTCTGGTGCAGACTTCCCAACAAAAGCATGTTAAGCAGCATCCTGCTCCCCTCACTTTCTGGATCTAAATCAGTCCATTTATGAGCCACTTCACGCAGTCTTTCATAAAAAGCAGACAGAGACTCCTTTTCTGCCTGCTTTACTTCATACAACTTGGCAAGATTTTTTGGTTTCTCCACTCCCATCTGGATTCCAAACAAAATCAGTTTCTGATATATTTTCAATGAATCTCACCTCATGCTCTGGTTGGGATCCCACTTCGTATCATTCTTAGGGAAAAATTCATTAGGATTTGGAATGCCCTGAACCTTTTAATCTAATCCTTCTATTTTCCTAACGACTCCTTCATGAGCCTTTTTTAAAACTGCCCTCCATTCCTTATGGGCAAATATTTCAGGAGATCCTGGATGGTCCCCCGGTTTGGATTATGAGTTAACATCACAGTTTTAATCATACTATACATTCCATCAGGATTATTATGATACAACCCCACTTGCTGCTTCCAATTCAGCAAGTCTAAAGTGGTGAATGGCACATGCACATTGTGGGGGGTGGAAGGCATAGGAAATGAATAAGATGGTTTTATTACAAGCAGGGGTTTCCATGGTTGCCTCGTGCCGAGATACCTGGAGGCCATTTATTTGGGGAGTTGGGGAGCCATTTTGTGGCCGAGGACTGGTGGGCTACTTACTGTTCTGCTTACAGTTACCTATTGCTGCTTACTGTTCTGCTTACAGGATTGCTTACAGTTACTTACTGTTACAGTGTGAAGGCGGACCAGAAAGTATGTAAGGCAGTAAGACCAGTCTGGGCTCACTGCCAAGGGACCACGCAGCCGGGGGCAGGGAAACAACTTGATAGGTTGGTTAAAACAACCAATGGACTGCAAGAAGAAGACTATATCACCTTTTAAGGAAGAAATGAGCGAGACAGCATGAAAGGAGCGAGGGAGTGGTTATGTAAATCAAAGGGTCTTAAAAGGACTCGTCCCTCCCATTTGGGGTGTGCTTGGACCTGGTCACAAGTCTGGTGCACCCAGTTGATGCCTGCTCAGCTGGTGCTAAGAAAAAATTCAGGAGCCGTTAATTGAGGGTGAGATACGGAAAGGGTTTAATTGTGCCAAGGCAAAAGATGTTACACGACGCGCGCAGGCTGTGCCTGAGATGTTACATTTTATAGCAATATCTGTCCAATCCCAAGTGTGTCCACCCTGTACCCTTTGCTCTGGTCCACCCCCTGGTCTACCCCTTAGGAATTGGGTCTGGGGGCTTTGAGACCCTGCCTTCATCAATCTTCATTTTCTTCGGGGTACAGAGAGCACAGAGTCACCTAGTTCTTGACTCTGTTCTGCGGTTTAGGCCAAGATACAAGCGTTCTCCAAACAGGACAGGCCTTGCCTTGACAAGAGACTAAACATTTCTACTGGATTCAGGGGTAGGGCTGATATAGGGAGCATGGAATGGGGTAAGGGGGTTAAGGAATTTGTAAACTAAAGGGTGCTACAGGGTAGAGGATAAGGGCTGCTGCTTTTAAAATCTACTACTACTTATAAAACTTATAAGGCTTACAAATATTAGAAAAATAAAAACCATTAGGGGCTTAAGGCATCACAGTGGCTGTTAATAAAGTTCTTTGTTTCACTTTATTTGGCCGTCTCCGAAATTTTAATTAGAGATATTTCTCACAGAAGAGACCCTGCGGAAGAAATGGCAAGGAGGCAAGCTGATTTGGGGATTTCTCTTTCCTCAAGAAGCCTGCTGTGGCTGAAGAAACATATGTTGAGAGAATGTGTGAGAACAACCACCTTTTGTCCTTCCCATGGAACTGCTTCTTTGCCAGACTAAACAGAACTTTCTTATCTGAGAAGATGCGAAAGAAGCATTCCTTCCCACAAGTGGGGGAAGGGAGACGGGGAAGAGGTAAAGGCTCAGAAAGCAGCATGGTGCATGCCCAAGGGCCCTTTAGATATGCACGGCGGGAGGCCCTGGGGGTGTGTGTGTTTTTGCCACCCAGCTGCTGCCAGTTCCTGCAGCTGTGAGCATCCCCAGAATAAACTTCCATTCCTGCTTGAAAGTCCGTGGCTCAGCCTTCTGATTTTACCTGCACGAACATTGGAACTGACACACATACACTGCCCCCCCGCTCAGGTCTGACTGCTGCCTTAAAGGTGCTTGTAATACCTACTTATCTTTCCCTCTGGTCCTACTGGCAACAGGTGTTGCATCAAAAACAATTTCTTTATTGCTACATTCACTGTCTACCTCCTGCTTTGATCCTCACTTTGGAGAAGCTGCCAATAACTGGACTTCCTCTCTGGAATTTTTTTATCTTTTCATCTCACAGAACAAAATCTTAAGCCTAAAAGACTTTGCGAAAATTAGCACCTCCAGCCTCTGCAAAAACATCATGACTGTGCGAAAACAGCCCCCCACCACACACATGGGGGAGGCACCAGGAGGGTTTCTGAGGGTATATAAACCCACTGAATTTTATATTTTGTGAGCTTCTTTCCCCCACCACTCCCCGACGGACCAAGACGCCACTGACAACAACAACCAAGTTTGCTGGAGACCTTTGAGTAGTGATTATAAACTTTTACTCTTTTCTCTCTTTCTTTCTCTCTTTTTCCTTACACATTTTCTTGAGTGATATCTTTATGCTTTTGCGTTGCTGTATTACAACCCAAATGGCTAAATACCTGTTTTCCTTTGCAACCAAATTGTTCTAAAATAAACTATATATCTGTAAACACTGATAATCTAGTATCAATTTATTTTAATTTACACCAAGGGATTTATTAGCTAAAAACAAAAGTTACTCTTTCCTGGCAAGGTGGGTAGTAACAAATTGCTTAATCATAATTGTCCAGCTACAACTACTGATTGACAACTAAAAAAAAATTGCAAAGTTTGACTCAAACACCTATTCAAATCTTGAAGGGCTCAAATCCTGAGTGGCTTGGTGTCACAACCATAAACCTAACGCTGCCAAGTCTACCACTAAACAATGTCTCCAAGTGCCACGTCTACATGCCTTTTCATCATTTAATTTTCACTTCAAGAACATTCCACAGTATGCTTTATCAAAAAGCAAGATATCTTGCTGCTCGGAATCATCTAACATAGTATAACTTCACCATTTTAATTGTCTCAGCTTTAAAAATCCTTACTTAGGGCTTTACAGATTTTACATAAAAGCCAGACCTTGATATCCAGCTAATATCACTTGTTATTTACTTACCAATACAATGGCCAATTTTTTATAGATAAAAATGACTGAAATAAACAGTTACAGTGATAATACAAAGTCAACTTTATTTTCACTGTCCTTCATACTTGGAGAACTGGCCCTGAACAACTTTGGCACCTGTAAAACACTCAAAGGGCAATAAAGTATACTCACTACTGACACAGTTTCAGCATTATGTGATTTGTGCTAAGGCGTGCTGTGGAGGAAGAAAATCATCAGACCTTAAAGACACTTGAATGTATTCTTTCTTTAAAGTTCAGTGCATTTTCTAACTTCTGTTGTCATGTTTTCAAAACTGCAATGAACAAGAAATTGGTTTGTTTGTTTCTAAAAAGTCAGCACACTACTGTCTATGCTCATAACAGTTCAATAAATAAAACCCAAAATACATCCAAACAAAGCACCACAAGAAAACAATGCAACATTGTCCTAGTTAGAGCAACCGGGAGCAGTTCATCACTGTGTGGGTGTAACCCAAACTGTGTGTTCTACACCCTCTATGTCATTTCCCAGGAACTGTTAACAATAGACCATGTGCAGCAGCTGTCCAGAGCACACCTGACCCCTCAGGCTATAGTTATGGGTGATGTTAACTCCCCTCCAGGGAGTCATTAGCACCTCCACACCCAGCCTGAGGGGTCATGTCTGCTAACAGGCCACCAAGGATTCCAAAACTATCTCACGACTCACAACCACCCATTGTGGAACTCTCCGCCCTGGGGGAGGTACTGGGCATTCCCACTCGAACCTGAGTGTATATAATCTTGGGGTCTTGTGACTTCTGGGTCAACTCGTCAGATCCAGAGGAGGACCAGAACCTCGATCAGACTGCAACCACCACTTTCGACCAGACTACGATCACCACCCTCGGCCAGACTGCAACCGGCACTCTCACCAACAGGTTTCCCCCCCCTTTTACTTTGGACTCAGGGGGACCTCGTGGGGCTTAGCATGGGGGCCAACTAACACCATTCTGTTCGTGCCCCAGGGTACTGCGTTATACATCTGGGTTTTGTGGGTTAAAACCAATTGCTTGTCCATATAATTGTATTATTGTATAATTTTTTATTAAATTGTAACTCTGACTTGTGGTCTCTTTTGAGTTGGGTTTATTTCTCCTGCTGGTTTACCTTTAAACCAGCACAAACATTTAAATCATCATCATGGCTAGGCTTCACGAACGAAGATTTGGGAAGGGCTTTACCCACATTTGCTACAAGCTCGCTGGTGGCTAAAAAGGCCAATACGAGATAGACAAGTCCGGTTGCAAAAGGCACAGCAGAAGGATTCCTTAGGTGGTATATTCTGCAAGACATGATTCTTTCTGAGTTCTCTTTTCTCCTCGAGAGTGATCCTGCGTGTGTTCTCAAAGGAAGCAGCAGCGTTAAAGATAGTGTGTCTCCAGACCTCCTGATTGGAGGCCAGAGCAGACCAGTTATGTTGATCAATATGGCCAAGGTGAGATGTTGTTTCAGGGAGTCCATGTATCTTTGTGAAGGAGCAAGATTCGGGATGGGAACAGTTCCAGGTGTGGAGAAAAGCATACAGCAATTAGCAGGACTTTATTATATGGACCTTACAGTTATCATATGGACTTTACTGTTATTATGTGGTTTCATTGTATTCACACTACACAGTGCACAACCTGGTCATGCCCAGGCTTGCCATGAGTTTGCCTGCTGCCTGCTCCCTGCTTCCCCCACTCCTCCCCCTTTTGCCCGTGTCCCTATCCTGGTTTGTTCCCCTGCTTGTCTGTCTCATGCTCCGCCCTATGTTCTGGCCTTTTCCCCGCCCGAGCTGACAAAAGACAGTGTGCACGTGTGAATTGGGCTTTCTACTTGCACCCTTCCTCGTGTCCCATCCCCTCTTCGGACCGTGGCATATCTTCTCTTTGGGGCTCCTCTCATGCGGCAACCAGTGGCAAGTTCACCATAGAGCACGATCTTATGGAGGCGGTAGTCCTTCATCCTTGATACGTGTCCTGCCCAACGCAACTGTGTTCTCAGCAACATGACCTCAATACATGTGACTGCTGCTTGTTCTAGAACAGATGTATTGGTCACATAATCGGACCAGTGGATGTTTAGGATTGTACGGAGGCAGCGTTGATGGAAGCGTTCTAAGAGACGCAGGTGGTGGCGGTAAATGACCCATGATTCGGATCTATATAAAAGAGTAGACAGCACAATGGCTCTGTAAACACTGATCTTTGTACTTTTCTTCAGGTGTTTATTTCGTCAAACTCTTTTATGAAGCTTTCCGAAAGCACTATATGCCTTCGCTAACCTGTTGTCTATCTCTCCATCAATCTTACCATCCGAGGAGATGAGGTTACCTAGGTAATTAAACTGCTGGACTGATTTGAGCTCTGATTCACCAATGGTGATATGGGGATGATGGAGGACTTCCTGAGGTGCAGGTTGATAGAGAACTTCTGTCTTCTTTAAGCTGACTTCCAGGCCAAAAAGCTCAGCAGCCTCTGAAAAGCAGGATGTTAAACACTGCAGAGCTGCTTCTGTGTGGACGACGGGGGCGTCAGCGGCAGCGTAAAGCAGCTCACGGACAAGATGATTTAAGGTCTTAGTATGGGCCTTCAGTCGCCTTTGGTTGAAAAGGCTTCCATCGGTACGATATCGAATGTAGATACCATCTTCTTCATCGAGGTCTGCCCTGGCCCTTTGGAGCATCATGCTGAAAAAGATTGTGAATAAGGTTGGTGCAAGAACGCAGCCTTGTTTCACACCATTGGTTATTAGAAAGGGCTCAGAAAGTGTGTTGCCATATCTGACTTGGCCGTGTTGATCCTCATGAAGTGAGATGATCATTTTAAGAAACTTGGGGGGACAACCTAAACGTTCCAAAATCTGCCAAAGACCTTTTCTGCTCACAGTATCGAAAGCCTTGGTGAGGTCGACAAAGGTTCCATAGAGACCTTTGTTCTGTTCCCTACACTTCTCTTGCAGTTGTCTGAGAACAAATACCATGTCTGTGGTGCTCCTGTTGGCTCTGAAACCACATTGGCTTTCAGGTAGTGAGTATTAGTCTGTTCAGGAGTATTCTTGCCAGGATTTTGCCAGCAATGGAGAGCAGAGTAATACCACGGTAATTTGAACAGTCTGCAACTTCCAGTGCACCTTTCACCTGCCATTTCGACCCATCACTACAGGGCTTTACAAATGTGAATATCACCCTCGAGCCTGTGCAATGGATTTTTTAGGTGAGACACAGCATGCGCAGAACTGGACCCACCCTTTAATCCTAAGGTTCATCTGCCAGGGCCGAGCGAGCTTGGACGCTGACAGCAAGGTCCTTAGGACATAGGTTTAATTAGAGTATCCTTCTCTTAGATGGATGGCCTTACAGGGCTAAGTGAGCTCCATCTGCCCGGGTTTGGAATTAGAGTTGTCTTCCTAGGATGACTGCCTGAAGGCTAGTGAGCTCATCCTGCCCATGAAACATTTAAATAAATTTTTTTTTTTTTATAACCCCCAAATTTAACTTTACCCAAAATTAAGCATTTGCTTTATTTCCCCATGTACAGCCTCACAGAGGAAGAGGTGCAGAGCTGCTGCAGTACAAGGAGTAGATCATTAGGGAATCAGAAGAAAAGAAATTATGGAGAAAATTGTGGTCTCTTACCTTCTCAAATATGCCACCTACACTGTTGCTGAATAACAACTCTGTCTTATTGACAACAATAATTTGTGAGTCTGTACTCATAAAAACATAGTATTTGGATTATCAACATTTAGATTTTAACATATATTCGCAAGTAAGAAGTTTAAATTAATTTGAATGTTTTTAAATGCCATTTTCCATGTGGTTTTCCTTTCTTAAGGCAAATTAGTGAAATAAACATTATTTGAAATATTACAAAACATGTTTACATTACATAAATATGCAAAGCCTTTGACACTGTCTCCCACAGCATACTTCTGAAAAAGCTGGCAGCCCACAACTTGGACAGGGGCACTCTGTGCTGGGTTAAGAACTGCCTGGAGGGCCGGGCCCAGAGAGTGGTGGGGAACGGTGCTGCATCCAGTTGGTGACCAGTCACTAGTGGTGTCCCCCAGGGATCAGTGTTGGGCCCAGTTCTGTTTAATATCTCTATTGATGATTTAGATGAGGGGATAGAGTCCACCATTAGCAAATTTGCAGATGACACCAAACTGGGGGGAGTGTTGATCTGCTGGAAGGCAGGAAGGCTCTTCAGAGGGACCTGGACAGGCTGATGGTCTGATTCCAACAGGATAAGATTCAACAAGGCCAAGTGCCGGGTCCTCCACTTTGGCCACAACAACCCCACGCAGTGCTACAGGCTGGGGACAGAGTGGCTGGAGAGCAGCCAGCCATGAAGGGACCTGGGAGTTTGAACTGACAGGAAGCTGAACATGAGCCAGCAGTGTGCCCAGGTGGCAAAGAAGGCCAATGGCATCCTGACCTGTATCAGGAATAGTGTGGCCAACAGGTCCATGGAAGTGATTCTTCCCCTGTACTCAGCGCTGGTGAGGCCACACCTCAAGTACTGTGTCCAGTTCTGGGCCCCTCAGTTCAGGAAGGATATTGAGGTGCTGGAGCATGTCCAGAGAAGAGCAACAAGGCTGGTGAAGGGACTCGAGCACAAGTCCTATGAGGAGAGGCTGAGGGAACTGGGGTTGTTTAGCCTGGAGAAGAGGAGGCTCAGGGGAGACCTCCTCACTCTCTGCAACTCCCTGAAAGGAGGTTGTAGCCAGGTGGGGATTGGTCTCTTCTCCCAGGCAGCTATCAGTAAGACAAGAGTACATAGTCTTAAGCTGTGCCAGGGAAGGTTTAGGTTAGATATTAGGGAGGAATTCTTTACAGAGAGGATAATCCATCCCTGGAGGTTTTTAAGATGAGAGTGGATGTGGCACT